CTGGAGGAGATGAAGGCGATCAAGGAAAATGAGACTTGGGAGCTTGTCGATCCACCTCCAGGATGTCGTCTGATCGGCCTGAAGTGGATGTAAAAGGTCAATCGGGACGAGCGCGGTGCCATTGTCAAGCACAAGGCGAGCCTCGTCGCCCGAAGCTTTGTCCAGCGCGAGGGCATTGACTTCGAGGAAGTCTTTTGCGCCGGTAGCACGCATGGAGTCTATCCGACTGCAACTGGCTTTGGCAGCAGTGAAGGACTGGTGCCTCCATCACTTGGACATAAAATCGGCCTTCCTCAATGGTGAGCTAGCGGAGACGGTCTTCGTCAGGTAACCTCCGGGTTTCGCCATCAAGGGAGCGGAGCACAGGGTGCTCCGACTGCGTAAGGCACTCTACGGGCTGCGGCAGGCCCCGCGGGCGTGAAACGCCAAGCTTGACGCCACGTTGGGCGAGCTTGGGTTCACACGGTGCGCAACCGAGCACGCGCTCTACACGCGGCGACGGGGGAAGGAGGAGCTCATTGTCGGCGTGTATGTGGATGACTTGATCGTGACCGACGCGCGTGCGGAGGACATCGACAGCTTCAAGCGCGAGATGGCAGCTCGTTTTTGAACGAGCGATCTCGACGCGCTCTCCTACTACATCGGCATCGAAGTGGGACAGGGGAAGGAGGCGCTCACGCTCGGACAGAGCGCGTATGCCTCGAAATTGTTTGTGCGGAGCGGCATGGCTGAGTGCAAGCCATGCGTGACTCCGATGGAGGAGCGGCTGAAGTTGACGAAGGCCAGTACTGCGGCGAAGGTAGATGCAACACTCTACCGAAGCATCGTCGGTGGTCTGCGCTATCTAGTCCACACGAGGCCGGACATTGCGTTCGCCGTGGGCTACGTCAGCCGCTTCATGGAGGATCACCGAGAGAATCACTGGGCCGCGGTAAAACGGCTGCTGCGCTACGTCAAGGGGACGGTGGATCAGGTGATCGTCTTCCCCAAGACCGACGGAAGTGGACTGCAGCTCACTGTGTTCAGCGATGCAGACATAGCGGGGGACATCGACGTACGGCGGAGCACCTCTGGCATGCTCGTCTTCCTCGGGTCGACTCCAATCTCATGCTGTCGCTGAAACAGAAGGTGGTGGCGTTGTCCACGTGCGAGGCAGAGTACGTGGCGGTGGCCACAGCGGCGTGCCAAGCTATGTGGCTGCGCCGGGTGCTGGGCGAGCTGACCGGTGTGGAAGCTCACCCACCAGTACTGATAGTGGACAACCAGCCCGCCCTCGCCCTCGCGAAGAATCCGGTTCTCCATGACCGGAGCAAGCATATCGACATCAAGTTCCACTTCCTCAGGGACTGTGTCGATGGAGGGCAGATCGTCATCAAGTTCGTCGAAACTGGTTGGTAACTCGCGGACGTTCTCACCAAGCCGTTCGGCCATCTTCGGTTCACGGAGCTGAAGAAGATGATCGGCATGGTGGAGGTTCTAGGGTTAGCAGCAGGATTAGAGGAAGAATTGTAAAGTAATCTGCTGCTCTCCCTCTGTACGCGCGGCAGGGGCAGGCGCCGAAAGTGCTCCCCTGCTGCTGCACTGTAGCCGCGACAGGGGCAAGCGCCGAAAGGCTCCCCTGCCGCACTGTAGCCACAGTAGGGGCAAGCACCAAAGTCAGCCCTGCTGTCACATCTAGTCGCTGTAATAGCATGGCAGCCTGGCATATATATGTACTGGGATTAGATGGGTAGAGTTATATATATAGCTTCCCACTGCAAGTCAGTGAAAGTGGTTCAGTTTGCCACATCCAGAAGTATAGCTTTCACCGGCGCGAAGCTTGTGCTGTGTATGTATGAGCTGTTCTCAATATCTTCTTTTACCTCTAGTCATAGTGAGTGAGTGAGTGAGTGTGCTGGTAAGCTTACTGCTTACCTATGCAGGACAGCCGAGGGATCAACAGACTCGGATGGCTTAACCTGGATATATAGCCCTTGGCTGCCATTGTTACGTGTTGTCTAATATACATATAACAGATTGCCCTTGGTTTTACAACTTGATCGTCAAGCACAAGCCAACAACCCTATTATATATCATCTCTAGTTGCTAGAAAAATACAACAAATAAACCAGCACATATCATATATATCTGAACTAGTTTGAAACATAGCTATATATGTTTTGCTGAGAACAGGGTTAGATTAGGTTAGGGTGCAGTGCAGAATGTGTTGTATTGTGTTGTGAACAACAGTATCAACCAAGTGCTCTTATGCTGTAACCGTTCTGAACTTGTGAACGAGCCCCAACTCCCAAAGAGCGAAAGGGAAGCAGCATGGATGTTTCAACCTTTCAGGGCCAGCAGTACCTCAGGCAGGCATCAACGTAACAGAGGTGTGCCCATTTTATTTATAGATGAGTTTGCTGTCTCGCTTTCAGTGGGTATGTTTTGGCTGGTGCAGAAAGGAAAAGCTCTCTACTCTGAGTTGTTACGTAGACGTAGAGTATACTGTATAGTAGTACTGCAATGTAAACTTTGATTTGATTCCATAGCAGTTAGCAGCAAAAAGAAGCAGCTTGCTGCATTTCCATGTATTAGTAGTAGTATTCTGACAGTAGGCAGCAGCCGCAGCCCATCCTATCTTCGCACCTACGTAGTTGCTACATCTTCCTGCCAAGAAAACAAGTGTAGCTGATGAAGCGATCACTGTTTGTCCTGTCATGTCAGAGTTCAGAACATAATGCATCGTACGTACCCCGTAGTAGCAGTGTAGCATAGCACAGCACTGCAATGCAGTGCAACTTTGCAAGAGTTGGTATGAAAGATTCTCAAAGTCTTGACTGGCCTTTTGGTGGAGAAGAACCAACCAAAAATAGCCACTCCATCCATCCAAACGAAGCGAGTATGGGGACACGGCCGCATGGGGTTTCGCTGCGCTGCGGCGAGAAAGCAGTCTCGTCTCTATAGTCGTCTTGGCATGCCATTGCAATGCGGCCATGCCAGCCTTCCACAAACCACAGTGACAGTTCACCACTCCACCGGCCTGCTGCTGATGACGATACGGATCGCCGGATCGGATCCCTGGAGCAGCATGCGATGCAACGCAAAGCAGCAGCATCTCTGCCTGCTCTGCGCCTCTCTCTTTTGTAGTCTTGTTTGCTTCCCCCCAGCAGCAGCTCTGGCCTGCTCCTGCCTGCCCAAAACCAAAAGAGCGGCTCCTTTCCTTTGCCTTCTTTCTTTCCAATGGGTGGCCCAATCCCAACGCCTCCGCAGTCCTCACTGTGCAAACTCATGTGCACCAACTAAACAAAACAACAGAGAAAGTTGCAAGCTTTGCAATGCTGCAGCTGCACACACACTGCACCTCAGCAGCTTTGTGGCAACCCACACAGACACAGGTGATGGGTGGTTTCTCTAAGCTAGTACATTCTGAAAGCACCTCGCCATATCCCTCCAAGCTACATTCTGAAAGTATAATATATATTCATTAGTTTCCAAATACCCCAAAGGGCAGCACAAATAAACATATTTGTTACTAAACAACTTATTTTTACTAAGCCATAAATTTACCAACAGAAACATAATCAGAACCACAAACAGTACCCACATCTGTTTGTCTACTACACTCAAAAACAGGTGATGGGTGGTTTCTCCAAGAACAAAAGAGACAAGAAACATCATCTATCTTTCTTCTTTTAGCTAAAACTATCTCGAGTCAAAACTTTATTTTGAAAGCAAACCAAAGAAAGAAATGAACTCTATGAGGGATTTCAAGGACCATAAATCTACAGCCTGTTCGGGAGGCCGTATCGTATCGTGGATTATTTACTGCTGGCTGGTTTGGTGTGAGAGAGAAAAACACTGTTCCTGGCTGGAAATTTACGATCGTTTACGAGCAAGCGAACAGGCTGTACCTGTAAACTGGAATTATACCCCAGAAGTTAATACTCCTATATAAAGATTGAGACGAGTACATTCCATTAGAAGTAAATTGCCAAATCATAGTGTCCTCTTCAGCTGAAAAAATAATGGTTGGAGATAGCTGAACTATTTCCATCCACATCTGCCACATAGACTCATCTACTGTTCTTCTAAAAGATCATCTCAAAACGTCCACATCCCAGAGCTTATAGCTCTTTCACCAGTCTTTCTCTGTTCTGCGTCTCATTCCCACTAGTTATAAGATCATTTGGCACAAGTGCCTGATTAATTGTAATCCTTGCAGCGAATTGAAGACAAAACTAGGCTAGCAGCTGCTCCAGGAAAACAGAGATTAACCTTACATTAATTCAGAAGTTGACTACCAGAGCTTGTACACAAGATTTGAAATGCATCACCACTGCTCTTTGCAAGAGCAATCCTTTGTTTCCTTTCAAAACTTAGCCTAACATTGGAACTAACACCCCTACTTTATATTTTCAGCAAATACTCAGATTGATGAATGGCAACATATATAATGGTTCGTGACAACTTCTGTTGGGGTTTCAGGAACTGAGTTTATCAAGGGAAATGCTAGAGCAGCTATATCTCGATGTTCCAAGCATGCAGTCTTCTCCCAACGCATCCTGAAAAAAAAAAAGCCTTGGGCATCTTCAGGCATCCAATCAATCACCTTTGCCTGAGGGTGAAGCTGGGAAGCATCAGTAATTGCAATCTGATAAACATTACCATTCAGTGTGATAAACATTACCAAAATCTCAAATTTGTTGCTATGCTGTTGTGCACTGCTACTACTGCATTGCAGCGGCAGTTCCCAGTAGCTTGCACTCTGCATATCTGTCTTGTCTGTGGTGTGTAACTACTACTCCCAGTTCTACTTCTATCTCTGTCGCGTGTTCCCCATCTTGTGGCTCGATCACTGTCGCTGTCAGTGAGCGAACACTGAACACCCCCGCACTGTCTCTTCTCTGATCCTAGCTACTGTAACCCACACAGCTAAGCAAATCCATGGAAGTTCCATCGAACACACGCCCACCGGCAACACACACGAACGAACGTTGGCTGGCATCACATCACGATCACGATCACATGACGGCGCAGGCGTTGGGGTTCTCGTCGCTGAGCATGAACTCGGCGTTGATCAGCGACTGCTGGTCGTAGAAGGCGGCCTTCCACGCCTCCAGCTCCGCCTTCAGGGCCTTGGTCGCCGCGTCCTTGCCGTCCTTGCCGCCGTCGTCCTTCCCGTCCTTGCCGCCGCCCTCCTTCCCGTCCTTCTCCTTGCCGTCCTTGTCCTTGCCCGGCGCCACCACGTTCACGGGGCGCCGCAGCTTCTTGCGCAGCTTCTCCGGCAGCGCCTTGGCGTCCATGGTCCCCGTCACCGTCACCTGATTCTTGGCCATGTCCATGCGCACCTGCTCCACCCCTGCACCGTCCATGATCCATACATCAAGTGCAGACACGGTTGGCAAATTAAATCATGCATGCATAGTGAACGGAGCCAAATTCCTTCAGTCCCCTCCATCACAAGAGCAAGTGTGTACCTTTGATCTTGAAGAGTTTGCTGCGGATGCGGTTCATGCAGCCATCGCAGTGGAGCCCCGTGGAGCCGATCTTGAGCACCACCGTCGCAACCACCGGCTGCATTGTCATGGCACAACCAAATTCCATCAGATTCAGATTTCAGAGCAAGCCCTTTTTCCCCCCTCGATTGGCCCGCCTCAACAACAACAATGCTAGTGCTGCTACTAGTAATACTGAACCAAGAACGAGACAAACAATATGAAGGAATAACGAGCAGCACAGCATCTGCGCCGTTCTCAACTTTCTCATGCATATGGTACAGTACAGGTACTACTAACAGTAACAGCAGCTGGAGGAATCAAAGAACAGCAACGGGGAAAAAACATGTGGCAGCTAGGCGCAAATTTCGTTTAGTGATCATGCGTGGGCGTGGCTCATGTGGCAGCTAGGCGCAAATTTCGTTTAGGCGCAAATTTGGCATACCGACCGAATCATGCGAACGATCAACGAGGAAAAGAACAGAATTCGTGCAGGGAGTGGCCGGAATGATTAAGATGGGGAGTGCAGAACGCACCACGACGGGTTTCTTGTTGTCTTTGCCGCCGCCCTTCCCCTTCCCTCCTCCACCGCCGCCGCCACCGCCCTGCTTGTCATCCTTCCCCTTCCCCTCCTCCTGGCGATCGGACTTGTCTTTCTCCTTGCCTTCGTGCTCGCCGCCTTTGTCCGCCTGCTTGCCGTCCACTTCGGTGGCGCCCTTGTGCTGGTTGCTGCCGCCTCTTTCTCCTCCCTGCTTGCCGTTCCCGCCGCCGGCGGCACCTCCTCCCTTGTTGTTGCTGCTGCCGCCGGCGACGACGAGGTCGACGTTCTTCCGGGTCTTGTCGGCGACGCGGTCCCGCAGCTTCTTGGCGTCGAAGCGCCCCACCACCGTCATGGAGCCCTTCTCCACCTCCATCGCCACGCCCTCCACGCCTGCAATGCCAATCGGCGATCAGTTAGCGTACGTTCCGTTTCACCACGTACCAGAGCCTCCTGCCTGGTGGCGGACATCACATCACAAGATGGCGTGGCGCCGGCGACAGACAGGAAAGGAAAGGTCGCGGCTTTGCGTAATGGCGTTGCGTTTCTTACCTGGGTAGCGGTGGACGGAGCCGTGGATGCGCTTGGCGCAGCCGTCGCAGTGCATGTCCACCTTGAGCACCGCGGTCACCATGGGCGGCGGCTTCTTCCCCCCGTCCTTGTCCTTCCCCTTCGCCCCCTTCTCCTGCTGGTCCTTCTCCTTGTCACTGTCCTTCCCCTTGTCGTGCTCCTTGTCCTTGTTGCCCTCCGCCGGGGACGCGTCGCCGGAGTTGGGCGCGGCGGGCGCCTGCTCGTCGCCCTCCTGATCCGCCGGCTTCTGCTGCTGCCCGCCCCCGCCGCCGCCGCCGCAGCCGCCGCCACTACCACCACTCCCTCCACCGCCGCCGCTGCGCTTCTTCTGCGATCAATCAACACCGTTAGTCCATTACACCATACACAGGGCGGGAGCCATGGGGTCAGAAACAAAAACAGAGATTAAAAGACAGGCAATTGAGGGCACGGTAGGCGGCGCGGCTGACCTTGCCCATGGCGGCGCGCGGCTGGCTGGTCGCGTGGTCCTCCCTGGCCGAAGTGCTCGCCTCGCCTCGTCCAAGGGGCAAGGCTCCGCCTTGCTTTCCCTGGCTGCCTTGTGTTGCTGCGCGAGGGAAGGGAAGGGAAGGGAAGGGAAGGGACGGCGCGACGCGAGCGATTGCAAGCGAGCGCGTGGGGTTTTAGGCGAGTGGGGCGAAGAGAGAGCACCGGAGCCGGAAGGCGGCGCCCGGGGTGGGCGACGTCGCCTCCTGGCCCTGGCAAAAAGAAGCCGCCTGGCTCACTCGCCTCTGGACTGGAGTTGGACGTCTGCGCATCCGCCTCCGCCTCCGCCTCCGCCTCGTCCTCGCGGACCTCGCCTGGCGCTGATGGGCCCACCGGCAGGGACTCGGCCGTGGCTCGCACGTACAGACGTACTTGTACTGTAGCTTTGGTATCTATTATAGGCCCACCGGCTTTAGGGTCCGCGTTTTCCCTTCTTTTTGTTTTTTCAAATTTCATTCAAATTTGTTCGTTGATAATGTTCCGTTTTCCCTTTGCGATGGTTGGATTTGATGCAGCCAATTAAGGAGCCTAACATGCATCTTAGGCCCCTTTGGCACGGCTCATCCAAAATAGCTTCACCGGTGAAGTCAAAGCCGGTGAAGCCAGAAAAACTGGTTTTTTTCGGCTTCTAGTTCATTTTAACACCGACTTACAAAACGACTTTACGCTACAGTGTCTAGATTTGCGTAAAATAGATGAAGCCGAAGCCGGCATAAGCCGTGCCAAAGAGGCCCTTAGTTAGCCATCCACTAGGAGTGCGTGTCCATGCACAGCACCATGCATGTGTCTTGGCCGCGATTCTCTCACCGTGCAACTCGATGGATCGGTAACCGAAAAACGCCGTGAAATTCACCTCCGTCCACTCTTTTTTTAAGTAAAATGCATGGTTAGTCCATTAACTTGTCGGCCTGTGCCGCTTTGGTCCATCAGCTTTAAAAGTGTATTTCTAGATTCAAAACCTTGTTAAATGATACGTAAATAGTTCATACCCCTTCATTTTATGATTTTTCATCCGACGTGGCAAGCAAACGTGGCTGCTGAAGTGGACAGTAGCTCACGTCAAAGCAGAGGTAGGCGTCACGGGTCGCCAGCTGCCACTCTGCCGTACACAATTCGGGGCCACCCCAATCCACCTCCACCGCTTTCATTGACGGCCGCTCCATCCGCATCTCCGGGCTAAGGGCCCCACACGCCATGCGCTCTAGGCTCTGCCACTCCGGTCTCAGCTTCGCCGGCCGCGCCATGTACAAGTGCAACCCCCACTCATCCGCCAGCCGACGCAGGCCACGATAACGCGCTTGCCATCGAGGAATGCGCCGAGCTAGTGCATGTTGTTGTCGTCCTCGATGAAGCAGAGCCGACGGTCGGCGGTGGGCGCGCGGTAGTGAAAGGTTTTAATGGCTAGAGGGATGAATAGCCTATTAAAAAAATTCTACAACAACACTAAGACAAAATGATTAGTCAATAAGATGGCGAAGCAAATTTTACACTAGCACTACACTTGTTGTTGTAAGCCACCTAACCAATTCTAATTTCTATGATCTCTAGTATGTCACACAAGAGTTGTGTCGCTAAATTACACCTAGGTGAACAAAGCTAGCTAGATAACTACAACTAAAGAGCTACACAAGCTACAAGCACTACACAAGGTGAATACAAAGTAATGAGGGAGAAGGGTAGAAGTGATATACCGCCGTGGCAAGTGATCGATCAATGCATATCAATGAATACCAAGGAGACAATCAAAACACAATGATTTTTTTCTTCGAGGTTCACTTGCTTGCCGGCAAGCTAGTTCTCGTTGTGGCGATTCACTCACTTGGAGGTTCACGCGCTAATTGGCATCACACGCCAAACCCGCAACCGGGTGCCGTACAACCAACATAAGACGAGGATCCACAAGCCACGCGTAATCCACTATAGTTGCCTTTGGCGCTCCGTCGGGGAAGGCACAAGAACCCCTCACGATCACATTGATCGAAGCAGAAGACAATCACATTTCTCCGCTCGACGATCTATCAATCACCAGGGCATCTAGGTGTCGGCAAACACCAAGTGTAACAAGAACTCCACCAGCCCAAATCACCCAACCAGTGCCACAAGATGCTAGAACACTAAGCAATGCACTAGAGGCTCTCCAATCTCACTCAAGATGATGAAATCAAGTGTGCAAGTGAGTGGAGTGGTGTGCTCAGCTCTCAAAGGGTATATGTAGCTGTTAGAAGTGCCAAGAGAGTGGCCAAGGCCGACCACTAACTCTATTTATAAGCCCACAAGCAAATAGAGCGGTTACCCCTTTGGAGCAGCTTTCTACGAGGACACCGGACACGGCGGTGCCTGGCACCGGACATGGCGGTGCCCAGCAGCCCTTCCCCTGCTCTCTGGATAAAAGAGGCAGTGCCACCGCCCCACCAATGGTGGTGACCAGGCACTGCACCGCCCTCTCCATGGCAGTGAACACCGGACACACCGGTGCCCGTGTCTCCACTGCTGCTCTTGGCCAGAGTCTAGGTGAGCACCGCCCTAGGAGTGGCGGTGTCACCGGACAGGGTGGCGGTGCCCCCCAGGCCAACCCGCTGCTCTCGGCCTCCAGCCGGCCACCGCCATAGGGGTGGCGGTGCACCGGACAAGGGGTGGCGGTGCCCCAGTGGCAGTACCCCAAGCCGAGTTTTGCCTCCGTTTCTTCACCTTTCTCACCACCTTTGCAAATGTGCTAACACTCCATGTGTTTCACCATCACGTGCAAGTGTGTTAGCATTTTCACGGTCATTTTTTAAAGGTTAAACACTTCTTACCGATTGTGCACTAGGCCTAAAATGCATATGCATGTTTTTCAACACCTAGTGGCACTAGATGATCAAGTTGTCCGATAAGAGCTCCCCTCTTAATAGTATGATCATCTATCCTAAATGTAATCACACTCGCTAAGTGTCTCGATCACCAAACCAAAAAAAACTCCTATTAAGTTTCACCTTTGCCTTGATCTTTTTGTTTTTCTCTTTCTTCTTTTCCAAGTCCAAGCACTTGATCATCATGGTCACCACACCATCATCATAATCTTCATCATTGCTCCATCACTTAAAATAGTGCTACATATCTCATGATCACTTTAATAAACTAGGTTAAAAACTTAAGGTTCCATCAATTCAAAAAAACACTAGAGCTTTCAGGTAGCACCAGCCGAACTCGTCGGGACGGTAGACGAGGACGCGGGAGCCGCCGAGGCAGAGCGCGACGCCGCAGGCCGGGTTGGTGTGGTCGGACGTCGCTGAAGCCCTGGGGCGCGTGCCAGGCACTCATCGAGGAGTCCAGGGCGAGGGGTTCACATCCGCGCAGCGCAGCGATGCCGGCGTCGAGGGGGGCGTGCAGGCGGTGGTCGTAGGTGAGGGACGTGGCCTTGCGGAGCCAGGCACCCGTGACGTAGTCGCTGTGCGATAGGGTCATCTCGATGACGTCCAGGCTGCCAGACGCCATAACACTTCTCGCACGCATCCGAGCACCATTGCCGTCATCGTGCACAGCTCACCCCCCTCTGCCTCTCGAATTCAACCAAACCACAGCCTCCCAATCCAATTCCTCGCAACTTGGGCTTCCCATGGAAGTAAATTAGTAGACCGTGGGTTCTCTCATAGACGCCGGCCGCGGGACCGGCCGGAATTGAAGCTTCACCGACGCCGGTCATTTTCCGGGCAGAAACTGTTGGAATAAGTCCTGAGCTCCTAACTTTAGAAAGTAGCAGGTGGCTAGCGCCATTAGCGGCCCTGCAAGGATCGGCATGGCCCAGGCGGTTGGGATGGCAACTGCTGGTCACGAGCATGCCGGGATTGGCTCGGTCTTTTGTAACCATATAGGGATGCATGTATTTCCTTTAAATAGAAATAACAAGCAACAGAAAAAGCAGCCGTATTGCAGCCCAAACTTCCGTGTGTGCCACTTTGTGTTCGCGTGTGTATTGTCTTCCTCCATCGGAGTTCTGTCATTTGGCATCAGAGCTGATCCTCGCCGTCGCCATGTCGTCGAAGTCTCCAACCAAGAAGGAGACCGGTGACAGCTCCGGCGAGAAGAAGGTCCAGCCGTCACGTTCGCCACCACGTCGCCGTGGCCGCTCCCACAGCCGTCGCTCCAGCTCACGAGTCGTCGAGTGCATCATCGAGCGGCCGTCCGCGAACGTCGCGTGGCCGATGCTGACCCGGACTAATTATCCGGAATGGGCCCTGGTCATGGAGGTGAATTTCCAGACCCTTCGTGTCTGGGACGCCGTCCACGACGGCATCTCCGATGACCCCGACGAAGATGAGTACCACGATGATCGCCAGGCGATGGCAGGGCTCCTGCGCTCGGTTCCATCTGAGCTGTGGAGCACTCTCGCCAGGAAGCGGACCATGAAGGAAGCGTGGGAAGCGGTCAAGGTGTTGCGGATCGGCGACGAACGCGCACATGACGCCAGCGCACAGCAGCTTCATCGCGAATTCGGCACTCTCACCTTCAAGGAGGGGGAGACCGTCACCGAGTTCGGGCTCCGCATCACGACGCTCGCCACCAACCTCTCGCGCTCTCGGCGACAACATCACCGACGCCGAGGTAGTGAAGAAGTTGTTGCAGGTCGTCCCGGACAAGCTCTCGCAGGCTGCCGTCTCCCTCGAGATGTTCCTCGACCTCAACAACGTCTCGCTCGAGGAGGTCATCGGGCGCCTACGTGTGTTCGAGGAGCGCGCCAAGCCCAATGAGGTCACAGACGCCATGGGGCGCCTGATGCTCTGTGAGGAGGACTGGGAGGCCCGTCGCAAGGCTCGCCATGAACATGATAGTTCCGGTGGTAGCACGGGCTCCGGCAGTCGCGGAAAGCGCCGTGGACGCGGACGCGGACGCGGTGGCGAGGAATCATCGTCGCGGGATGGCCACAACGGCCAGAACGTGGGCACCGGGAACGCCGGTGGCAGGAGGCCACCACGCGGCAATCGCTGCGACAACTCTGGCAAGATAGGCCATTGGGCCAAGGATTGTCGCGGGAAGAAGAAGGGTGCGGCACACGTCGCGTAGGCCGAGGAAGAGGAGCACGCACTCATGTACATCGCCGCCGACGCTGAGGTAAAAGCGTCGGACGCGTTCTGCTCTCATCTCAGGTCGTCGCCGTCTCTCGATGAATCCACGGTGCGTGTCCACCTCGATGAACCGAAGGTGCATCTCCACCTCAGCCAAGAGGAGGAGGCTGTGGTCTCTCGCCGCTGGGTGTTGGACACCGGGGCGACGAACCACATGACGGGAACGCGCTCCGTTTTCGCGGAGCTAAACAGCGGCGTCACCGGCACCGTCAAATTCGGTGACGGGTCGGTGGTCGACATCCAAGGCAAGGGCACCGTCCTCTTCGCGTGCAAGTCCGACGAACACCGTCGGCTAGACGGCGTCTACTACATCCCCCGCCTCACCACGAACATCATCAGCCTCGGGTAGATGGATGAGGATGGTTTCAAGGTCGACATCGAGGTGGGCGTGCTGCGTCTCTACGACCTGCAGCGCCAACTGCTGGCGAAGGTGCATCGATCACCTAGCCGGCTCTACTTCCTCGACATGGACATCGCCGCTCCGGTGTGCCTCACCGCGCGGGTCGGCGACATGGCGTGGCACTGGCACGAGCGCTATGGCCACCTCAACTTCCAGGCGTTGCGCAAGCTTGGGCGCGCGGACATGGTGCGAGGACTACCGGCGATCGACCACGTAGACCAAGTCTGCGAGGACTGCGTCTTGGCGAAACAGAAACGCACGCCGTTCCCACAGGTCGCCAAGTACCGGGCTCAGGAAGAGCTCGAACTGGTCCATGGTGATCTTTGCGGCCCGATCTCACCACCGACGCCGGCGGGGAACATCTACTTCCTACTACTCGTCGACGACATGAGTCGCTTCATGTGGCTCACACTGCTGCGCTCGAAGGCAGATGTGCCGGCGGCGATCATGATGTTCCAGGCGAGGGTGGAACGTGAGACCGGCAAGAAATTGAAGGTCCTCCGTACTGATAATGGTGGTGAATTCACCTCTGTGCAGTTTGGTGAATACTGTGCAGGCGAAGGCATCCAACGGCACTACTCGGCGCCGTACTCGCCACAACAAAACGATGTCGTAGAGCGCCGGAACCAGATGGTCGTGAACACGGCGAGGAGCATCCTGCGCGCGCGGGGCATGCCAGGCTACTTCTGGGGCGAGGCGGTGCACACCGCTGTGTTCCTCCTCAACAGATCGCCTACATCCG